GCTATTTAGGAGAACTCTTAGTGGTAAGATAAAATGTTTTGTGAATACGGGCCCTGATCAATAATCAAAAATTCTGATAAAAAAATTAGCCTTCCTAATACGATTGGCATGAGTGCAATTAAATTCATAAATTCATGTGGAGATTAATGTTTTAAATATAACGTTTTTAATACAGAAATATTAAATTATTTAAACAACTGAAATTATATACACTAAAAATGAAACTAAATAAGCCAGCAGGTGGCGGCCATAAAAAAAGCATTTTTTCATTGGCTTTCAGGTGTATGACATCGCATTCAGCCGTGCGGGTGGCGGTCGGGATATGTTTGCGTCTGTGGGAGCAGACGGATCCGTGCGCATGTTTGATCTGCGGCACCTGGAGCACAGCACCATTATCTATGAGGACCCTCAACATCACCCGTTGCTGCGCCTGTGCTGGAACAAACAGGACCCCAACTACCTGGCCACTATGGCCATGGATGGCATGGAGGTCTCTCTTTTAGTTCCTTTTACTGTATTAGCATATTTGTCCTCATCTTTCCTCATGTCCCTCACTTTTTGCTATCTAATGTTTTATTTTTGTCAGGTGGTGATTCTGGATGTGCGTGTGCCGTGCACACCAGTGGCTCGTCTCAATAATCATCGTGCCTGTGTGAACGGCATTGCATGGGCGCCCCACTCCTCTTGCCACATATGTACAGCAGGTTAGAAACCAGCCCGGTTAAATACACACATACACAAACACAACAATTAATGCTTTTATTTAGCTAAAATGCATTGAATTGATCAAATGAACTTTCTGTTCATCAAAGATTTTATTTTATTTTTTACAAAAATTTAAGCAGAATAACTGTTTTCAACACTGATAATAATAAAAAAACAGTTCTTGACCAACAAATCAGGATATTAGAATAATTTCTGAAGGATCATGTGACACTTTTCCATTTGTTAACATTGTTAAACCATTTATTAATCTTAGTTCATGTTAATTTGAACATTTACTAATATATTATTCAAATCAAACCTTAACTTAATGTTATTCATCACATGCATTCAATTGTTTACACATGCAATAGTTTTGAATTCTTGAACGGTCTGATCGTGTCAGTTCTGCTTTCTTTGCGTCAGTATTAGACTATAACAGCAGTGACAGTGCTGTTTCATACAAGTCTTCTTTACCTGGCCCCCTTTTCTTTTAAATCCCACTGTAGCGGACGATCACCAGGCTCTGATCTGGGACATCCAGCAGATGCCGCGGGCCATCGAGGACCCCATCCTGGCCTACACGGCCGAGGGAGAGATCAATAACGTGCAGTGGGCCTCCACTCAGCCCGACTGGATTGCCATTTGCTACAACAACTGTCTGGAGATCCTGCGGGTGTAGAGCCGAGGCATAAATCGCCTCTGTGCTTCCTGTGGGCAGCATTGCTGGAAGAGAGTCTTTCATGGAGCAGAGACTTGTTTTCTAAAGTTCCTGAGGTCTGGGGGATTCAAGTGGGAAACCATATTGAACGGGCCTATGGGAACAACAGTCTGAACAATGTGTGTGCAACGTTTGTCTGGGAGAATGAAGCCGTATGAATGAGTACCTGTGTTTCTGCACAATATATTATATTTGTCTGTTTTCCTACTTGCCGGTGTCCCAGAGTCCTCATAATGGGATCTTAAACACAACTGTAATTACTATGATTGTATGGCCATTTGTGTAGGGAGAGATAAGCGTTTATTCTGTTTGACCGGTAAATAACTTTTTTTGAAAACTAGGATCATAAAGATGCAAACTTGCCAACATGGACAATGCAAAACTACCATTTTATTAAGATGTAATTGCTTACTTCAAAGATTAATAGTTTTACAGGTTCTCTGAACTTTAGATCCTGTTTTTCCATTTTAGGAAGGTGCCATTTTTTTGTATCCTTGGAAACTGTTAAATACCGGATAATATGGAGAATAAAATGCTTGACGTCAGTGCAAAACATTCATAATTGTTCCTCACAGACATGCTCACGACTCGCATAGCGGTTAGTTGTGTTGTTGACATCAATGTTTGAGTGGACTCCAGAATAACTTTGCATTGCGAGTCATTTGGTCGGTCCATGAAATTTTGTTGTTACGCAAATATGTAGTAGTAACGCCACACTTTTCGGTCAACTCAAAAGTGAATTTGCAAGGCTGTGTGGGATCCTGATCCTCACCTCACACTCTTAGATGGAGTGTTTAAATGTAAGTAGTTCTGTGTGTGTCCAGCCATGATGCTTTTCTATTAATAAACTCACTTAATAAACTCTTGTTCTTTCATAAAGCTTTCTGTGTTAATTAATCATGGAAAGGCCAGTCAACTAATATTTAGGGATGTACAATGTATCAGTACAAAACTGGCTATTGGCAGATATTCGAGATTATTTTATTGGTTAGCTATTGAATATTTAATTCTGCATGTGCATTTTCTTTATTTTCGTGTTTCAATTAAATTTGCCATCTAATGCTCACTACTTATATTTAGTTTATTTTTTATATAACACTTAAATGTAATCTTTTGCAAATATCTAAATGCATAAAAGTGTTTATTCAGCGATAGCATCACTCGTTATGACTGAAGACTAGCTAATATTAAAATGTATAGTATGAAAAATTACAATACATTTTAATATTAGCTAGTTTTCATTTATAACGAGTGATGCTATCACTGAATTAAAAACTATAATAGCATATAAAAATACTAAAATAACACTGCGTATAGTATTATAATAATTATAAGCTTGTTAGTATTTACCATTTTAATATCTGCATCCCTAGTAAAACAAAAATGAAGAAAAAGAGACCACGAATATTGGTATCTTAAACCCAGTGCAACATTAGTCGTCCTTTATAAATAACATTTAATCTAAATAATAATAATAATTGTGCTTTTGTGCAATCATTTTACATACATTCATCTGCTTACATTGCAGAGGTAAAACAAACTTTACACTGATTTCATCTCAAAAAGTGATTTACAAAGAAAAACAGGCCTTCAGCTTTCTCCAATCAGAATGTCAAGACTGAATAGTTTTCTCTTTCAAATTCAGTGATCATATTTTCCAAAAGATCACACATAAGTCTTAATGCACACAGTTACACCATCCATCAGCAGTTAAAATAACCACTTCAGTGAGAAATATCATTTCATAACCCTGAATTCATGCCTATTTGGTTACTATAAATCCAAATATACAAAGCGTAATTTTTGTGTCAGTCATAATGTCATTTAATGTAGTAATACATTCAATTTGGGTCAAACACCTAACCTGACACACTCACACACACAAAAACAAAAAAAAATATATATTTATAATAGTATATAATTAGAAAATCTATACATTGAAAAGAAAATATTGCACGTTTGCAATATCCGTACACACAAGCTATTCATTAAACACTGAAAGCTCAGGTATATATGTCATTTCCTCAGAGGATCCAACCTCTGAATCTCAGCTGACGCAAGAAGACAAGATGAGGTTTAGTATGTAATGACAAATCTCAGACAGACAAAAATGTATAATGTACATGATGGTGGCAGATGATCATAATCTCTCTTTGACTCTTTGACCTTGTCTTTATTGCCCACTGAGCTTCTCTTCATATTCAATAACACAAAGTCGAGAGGTGTTACCAAATACTCTCGCATCAGAGGAAAAATTCCTGCTCTGAATGAGAAGGGATATGAGACAAAATACCTCCGAGATTCAGAGAAGTCTGCAGTCACCGTTTTCTCTACTGGACGCCCTTTAAACTAATGAGTAACATGAATACATTTTATTGCAGAACTGTTTGAAAAGAGAAACCATGTTTGCGTCTCGGAATGGACAGTAGTCTGTTTTTGGCCTCTAGCTTCCAGGTAAGACTGGATTGGACACATGCCTCTGGATTTCTGGTGAACCCTCCAGCGTGCTCGGACTCTCCAGACTGTCCGGGAGCGATGGGAAGCGCAGGCTTCTACACAGCAGTCCTGGGGTCTGTGGATGAGGCTCTCTGGGGGGAATCAGTCCTGTGGGCACAGCCAGCTCTGTCTCTGGGGACTCATTGGAGGCAACTGTTAGGTGGATCCCACTGGATAAAGAGTCTGGAGACTTCTCTTTGAAGCTGTCCAAGTCAGGGCTCTGTGGATAAAACAGGTCCAGTTCAATACAGACATGCAACATGCTCACTACAAAGATTTATCTAGCCAGCTGATCATGTAAGAACACAGAGATCAGTCTAACTGACGAGTATCTTACTTAGTGACAATCACTATGTTACCAATGTCAGTTTACTCGCCGCCATCTTGGTAACACTAGTCTACTTGAGCATGAAAATTTGAAATATCCCCCAAAAATAAAATTATTCTCTACAAAACTCAGGTTGTTCAGCAGGGGTTTTTATAGTGGGGTGTCTAGACTCTCAGGGGGCTGCAAGAAAGTGCTAGTGGATCTACAGGAAATTGGAAAGAAAATGCATTTTTTATATATTTTTGTAATGTGTGTTTTTTTTTTGTTTTTTTTTGAATTTTAATAAATGTGTGCATAATATTTACTAAATGTTATTATTGTTATACTGAATACTAATAGTATTTCTGTCAAAAATCATGAAATGATTATAATATAATATAATATAATAAAGTTATTCATTTTACCCTTCAGGTTTATAAATCTAACATATCTCTAATAGTGTATTAGTTTATATTTTAGTAATTTCCTTTAGCTTTAGTCAAAAAAAAAAAAATCAGGATTGTGACTCTTTTATTCTGTTAAAAACCCAAACATTTGCATATAGTTTTGTGAAGAATAGAACAGAAATATGTAACATAGAAATAAAATAAATATTTCTAAGTTTATCAAGTTACCCTTCAGCTTTATAATTTATTTTATTAATATGTGTATATTTTAATAATTTCTTTTAGCTTTAGAACAATTTAAAAGCTATTTTTTTTTATTTTGAAAAACATGTGTTTATAGTAACAATTGTCTTAGCCTGCTTAGTTCCCCTTGAAAAAGGATTGTCATATATTTGAACATGAGTAAGAGATGGAAATGCAGCCAGTATATTCATTTTTACACGAGTGGCCTGTTTTGTCCTCCGCATACTGCTTCTGGTATTACACATCTACTGTTCATCTATGCAATGTGCGGTTTACAAACCCACGCTGAATTATCACACCCTTCTTCTCTCATTGCTCACATGACAACCTACCTTACCAGGTGATGAACTGTCATTGATCTGTAAAGATGGCATAGTGCTGTGCGTTGCTGTGGTGTACAGGCTGGTAGGATGAGCGTGGTGGGCCAGCGCTTCAGGGGAAACAGCGCTGTAGGCAGGGGGTACAGGTGCCATCTGCCTCTGCAGCAACTGTAGGATCACATTTATATCAGCTGTTATCCTGGTCTCCAGTCTTTAAAGAGAGAGAGAGAGAGTAGAGTTATAAGGCAAATGCAGACTTTGCACTATTAAAAGCTTGTTTTTTTCCCCCTCTGGATATCGGACCTGTTGAGTTGCGACTGCAGCAGCTCCAGACGTGCCTGCAGTTGACTCGGTCTGTCCTCAACACAGGGGCTGTGATGGTGGTAGCAGGCCTGCACTGCAGAGGAACGTCTCTGACTCTCTGAGTACTGACTGGCCCTGCGGTCGGGCAAATAGCTGTACAACCCCGACACGTTCAGAGGAGTCGCTGTATGGATGAAGAATGAGTGGAAAGATCAAGAGGAACAGAAAGATACAGAATAATGGACAGGTTAAAGATGGAGAAGACTAAAATTATTATAAAATCTCACAAACATGCAGATAAAAAAGAAACAGTAGCTGAACACCAATTTGCATACTTCCACCAATTACAAAATGTACATACTGGCTGGTTATACTTGGCGTGAAAATTCAAATTCATCCTGTCTACGTTATAAATGCATGTCATACATCTTATGTTTGTATGTGTTTATATGATTAAACCTTTGCAATTTAACATTTAATGCTAAATTTCAATTTTTAATCAAAATGTTATAACTGTATCTTCTGGTGAAATGACAGACTTCTCTTTGGTGATGTATATGCCAGATTTTTTCCAATCATTTAATCCACTTCCTCCACGTCTTTGTCATGGCATATTATGCAAACCCAGGCTAATTGGAAAAACGTGCCTCTATACCTACATTTCTGCAAAACTCCAAAAACGTACCTATACATACAGTTTGCTGCAGTTCCACTTGAAATGAACACTTGTGGCAGTTAAGCACCAATAATCTTTATATGTTCTAATTAAGGGGCAGATTGTCAATTAATGAAGGTGACATTTTCATTTTCGCATGGTTCCTTGCACAATACTGTGATATCATCTCTAAAAAAAACTTATAGTGCATGATTTGTAAAACATTGTAACATTCGCATCGCATAGCCAGCTCCATATGTATGGCTTTTCTGACATAGTAAACTTGCTCAGTAGCGCACCTGGCACAACGCTGCAATTGCGATGCAGAGCGCTTGGGTACAAATCCCATAAAACACGGTTTAACAAAAAAGTTCAAAGGTTCAATAAGTGCATGAACCAACATTAAAAAAAAAGTACATTTATGTTAGAAAACTAAACACTTTTTTAAGCAGCACTCACTGAACATTTCACTTTTAAACTGCTGCAAAACTTGAATGTAATACTCTTTTTGCAAAAAGGTCCCCACAAGCACATATTTTTTTCATGAATTTGGGCTGATATTTTGTTCAGAGTACTATGATTCAGGAAGCACCAAAACTAATCCTAGAGTAAAGATCATTATGAAATTAAAATTAGCCACAGAAGAGGTGCAGATTTTGCAATAATTCAAATTTTAAAAATAAATAGACTGCAGCAATTAACATTTTGTCAGAAGCTGTACTAAATTACATGCTATTTTGTTTAGTTGTCTGTTTGTAGGAAAATCATGAT